ATCAGTTATTTATTATATTGCTATTAGTAGCCTAGTCCCTTGGTCTCTTCCGTTTTAGAGTCTCTTAGCTTGATGCTTTTATTTAGTAACTCCATTGCATTTTATACCTCTTAACTTATTGTTTAATTATTTATCGTTATAATACATATATATAACGTTCTTAAGTTCTTGTTCTCCCTTACCCTACTGAAGAGCACGGAGGGAGAATATTCCTTAAGTTTGACTTCCGTCTAGGGCAAGTGCGAAACAGAAGTTGAACTACTTCTTTGGCTTGTTCCCCCTTATAATTTTAATACTTTGCCTTTACATTATCGGCTGTATTCATTTATCGATTCTGGGAGGTGATCCACCCTTCGACATCGGCCACCGAGTCATCCATTTCGTCGTAAGTTCCAATCTCTAGCCAATTTCTCAATGGACGATTGACGTGATAATTCATAAGAGTTCCTGTTGCTGCTGCTCCAATGCTGGAAAGCTTGTTGAGATCGTTTAATGACCCCGCCACCTTCCAACCTTTCTCGAAGTGATATAGCTTTATGTAGCGATATGAAATTGACTTTTTAGACAAAGTGCTGTGAAGGGAACCAAGAAAGTCTTCTTCTTATTAAATCTCGAACTCGATACTCGAATTGTATCGAGAGAAAAGAAGCCGTGAAAAAATCCGCAATAATTATGCATCACGCTATTACTTTTACAGTCCAGCGTTAGGTTTCAAATTCTTTTTTTTTAATATTTACTCAGGATTTCAGTATCCAATGGAGCAATGCTTCGCTATACCATCGACCAGGTTTCACAGTAGCAGGAAAATGTTCGAGCTCAATTACTATATAAAACATCACATTCCGGCCAGCACACTCGATTTTATAAATGGACTGCTTGGTCGAAAAAAGAGGTTTGTTGCATTGTTCTTTCTTCTGATGATGATATCATTTACTGAGAGCTTACCATAATGATTAGGAACGTGCGGTTGTATGCTCGTGTATGGCGTATGATCGAAGCGCTGCATTACTTCACAACACATGGATGGACTTTCCAAACAAAAAATCTACCAAAATTATGGGACTCAATGAGCACTCATGATCAGCAGGTATGTTGTGAAAACCATTGCCTTGAGATCATTCCATTCCATTTATCGTCACCTGAGCAGATATTGCCTGACGTTTGAAATGTAGTGTACGAATACCTTTCAATCAAAAGCCAAGAATGTGGGTCGAGTAGCGCCATTGCAATCGGCGCGCGCAAAACAGGTCACCACCGCGCGGAGGCCGCGATGGTTTCGCGGGAAGCGTGGGCGAATTCAGCTTTTCAAGAGACGACTATCTTATCAGCTCCTGGATTGTCACCCTGAAGCGTTTTTTAGGAATAACGCTCCTGTTTACTTCCTTTCCAATATCTGTTCTTTAAGGCACAGCTCACGATAAAAATGGTTCCTTAGTTTTTTCCCCAGGGTTACTCAGTGGCTCCCAAGAGTAACAGAAAGGACGCTTCTGGGCTAAAAACTTAAGAGCTAGGGCACTAGGAGCCCCATTACTGGACGCTCAGATGCCACGCCTATCAATCGATGTTATGTCAGAAGAGTGTAGAAGCGATATGCTCGCTGGCTCGGCATATGATCGCCGAGTGGTGAGGGGATGTTTCACTCCGGTTCTGTGATTCTTCAATATTCTTTTCGCTGCTGCAGTCATTCTGCCGATCTTTGCATGCTCAGCTGCAGCAAAATATCCTCAATGCAGAAGAATAATATTGGGTTGTAACATAAGTTCGT